CTGTCAGTAGCGCGGAACCTTAAATCCGAAACCCTCTAAAGCCCCCGAGAAAGCCACGTATTCCGGCCTTATAGAAACCCTGAAGGTGTCATGCCTTCAAGAGCCTGAGAAAACACACTTCATAAAACCCGCCCCTGCTAAACCTTCATGAAATCCGTGCACAGCAACCTATCAAGCTAAAGCCCAAACCCCAAGGCCCGAGACCCTAAACCCAACCCTAGGGCCCGACATCCGAAACCCAACCCACCCCTAAACCCTAAACCCTAAACCCCTCAACCCCTCAGAGACTGTTGTTTTTGAGGCCGACAAGCTCCTGACCGAGGAGGATCGTGCCAACTCCAGATCGGGGATGCAAAGCCCGCTGGACTTCTTGGGGCGGGGGTTTAGGGTTTAGGGTTTAGGGATTAGGAGGGGGTGGAGGGGATAAGATTCCAAAGGCGTCTTGTGTTTCATCACCTTGTGCTTTGATGCGGTTTGATGAAAGCTTCTTGTCGACTTGGCAACGGTTTTGGGAGGGTTTGGATAAGGGGTCGGGATTCTGGGCATCAATGCTCGGGTTCACGGACAAGAGCTGTTGTGTGTTGGGGTCCAGGGGTTTAGGTTTGGATTTGGTGCCGCAAGTGCTAAGACGAACGATTTGTTGCCGGTGTCGTGTGAAGACAGCGGGGTGGCAGTGAAGGTCTTGAGCTCTTCAAGACAGAGTATGTGGGTTGTGTGTACTAGGTATTCGCAAGTCGAAGTCGATGCTCCAATGAGTTTTTTGTCCTGTGTACGAATGCTGTATTGCACCCGAAACCCTAACCCTAAACAGTGAGGTCAACAAAACCAGCTTTCAGACCTTCATGTTGGGGCGTGTTGATGGTATGACAATCAAATTACGTGGTGCTTACGCGGGTTAGTTACGTTTCTGTTTCAATAAAAGAACGTTTGGGAATTGTATGCGTGCGAGTTGGGAGGGTATCAACCTCTTTATAAGTATACCAGTGGCCTGGTGATTCGATTAGCCGAGCTGATCATAAACGCCAAACCCTGAACCCCAAAACCCCAAACCCACAAACCC